GTCCAAATCTTAAAACATACATATAAGCCCCCATTTATAAGCTCACCTACCTGTAAACAAAAAAATACATCCAGTTATAAGCCCCGCCCTCTAGCTTACAAGTGTCGAAATGAATTTGACTTGTTACGACGTGTTGAAGGTTAGCTTAAAAACGCAATCAAATCAAAAAGTATTTTTATCAGCACTGCTATGTAACTTCTTTTGAAACACTTTTTTGGTCCAGTTATAAATACCCCGCACCAAGATAAGCCCCCCGTTTACAAGCCCTCCTACAACCCCTTACGAAGTTGTATGAGCTCAGCGCTTATAATCAGAAGTTTAAATTTCTTTTGGCTGAACTAAGCTAGTAACAAAAGTTTAAAAAAAATCAAAAATGATCAATGCTTACCATAGATAAAGCAGACCCTAAAAGGCAGCCAGCAAGTGCTACTCGAGGTCCATATTTGTCACCAAGTGATGATAACATGATCTGCAAAACAAGCAGGTGTCAAGCTTTTAACCCTTTAATTAGCCCCAATATCCACAAACAATTTCTCCAAACGGGTCTCAGTGCATTTCCATAAAGAATAAGTTGACAGAATTTGATAAAAGTTCAAAGCATTTATCCTTTGGGGATTATTTTATCTATTCTCACAACCTTTTCTCTTGATTGTGTATTGATTGTTAGAGGAAAACAAATGTTTGTCGCTCTTGGGACAGCAGTTTTTCCAGCTATTCTGGGGGTGGCCCGATGCCTCTAGCAGGGGCACCTTGTGACTTAGATACGCAGTTGCTTGCTTCAGTTCTTCGCAAAGTGTTGTTGCAATAGCTCGTCGTTTGCGTGACATTTTGTGCTTTTGTTTTTCCCATCCCTCCCTCCCTCTTGAGGTGAGGGCCAGGTAAGTATTGGTCAGTAAGTATTCCACTGAATAGTTCAGTGTGACAGTGCCTGGTGGGGGCAGCTCACAGGGTTGCCATGGATACCTCCTCCTCATACTAAAGCATTGCCAAGCTCCACAAACTTTGTAGGCACCAATGCCCATGATGACGAGTTTAAATGCATAACAATGAGCCCAAGGTGTCCCCCCCTCCCCCCGCAACCCTCCCTGCCACCTTAAAAAGCATTTCAAAATGCTCTTTTCCTGAATTGTGTTCTGTGACAGGAATAGACAGTTTCTCAAGGACTTCAAAGGGATGGACTTGCTTTTTCAGAAATTTAAATAAAACCCCCCAAAAAACCAACAACCAGAAACCAGAAAGACCAGCAACGAGCACAAAATACAAGTAAATACCTGCATAAAGGCATATGGAAGGAGGAGAGCAGTGTCCAAAAATCCTAGCTCAGTCTTTGAGAGATGGAACACATTTGCCAGATCTGCTTTGACCTACCAAAACAAACGGTTAAAAAATTACAGTGTTGGATTGCCAGACAGTATCCGGCAATAAACAATTTCATATACTTTTTTTTTCCACTTTGCTTTACAAGTCTGTTGACGTTGAAAAGTGGGTCCACAAGACTATAACTCAGGCCACCAAACATTAACTGAAAGAGAAAACCTAATAACAATGTATAAATTGGATGTGAGTATTATTTCCCTTTCTCTACAAGGAGTAAGCAAAATAATTTTGCTATTACTGAAGATACCCAAGTGTATGCACAGCAGTCAGTAGTATACCTGATCAAGATAGCACAGAAGTAACCCTTGATCTAATAAAGTTCAGATTTTACAAACACAAAAATATGCATGGGAATGTTTGAAATCTTGAAGCATGTTAGAAGAAATCACATCCGGTGAGAACAAACATCAGAGATGAAGAAGAATGGTGTACTTGCAATCTGAACTACAACAAAGGAGATTGAACTAGAGTAAGCTTTATCCTTTGGCACTTGAAAATACAGCAAAAAAGGCCTTTATAGTGTGAAGTCCATTTTCAAAAGAAATTTTTTTGGAAATTTACACTGCTTTTAAAAAACCTACATGCGGCAAATGAAAGATTGGCCTTTTCTCTAACAAAATCCGTTTAAATTTTGAAAATCAGTTGAGTAGAACCACTATCCATTTCACTTTGAAAACTTCTGGTAAGAGTTGTGTTCAAAAATGGCGGGTCTGGAGCAAGCGAGCTATTGTCCTAAGCCCAAAACTAAATAACAATGGTTGCCAAGACTGAGACAATGCCCATTCAAGAAAACCACTCCGCTGTAAAAAAAAAGTTCACAATTGCCGTGAATTTCAAAGCCAATACAGTGTGACATCTGACTCATTCGAACTGCCAGCTAGATCGCAGAATGAATAACACTGAAATTGCCGAAAGCGTAAACAAACGGGGGCTCTTTTCAGAGCTCTTAGAAACATATGTTTTGACTCGCACACAGTATCCCCACCATTGAAACATAAACATAGGCTTTCCATTTCTGACTTTTTGCCAATGACTCATTCAGCCTGAAAGACGCCCAAAACGTTTGGTTATTTCTCACATCAACTTCTATCGAAAAGGAAATCTACAGGCACTTAGAGGCTCTTGTAAATGCCTTTAGATGGACAATCACGTTTCTCCATTTTATAAACAAGTAACAAGTCTGTTGTCATCTGAGACCGGAAAAGGAATATTTCTATGTTCACATACTATGGCAAAGACTTGCCACAGGATCGAAAAGAGTCAATTATGAGGATCCTGAATTATTTGACAAAATGTTCATAATTGGCCAATGGGACACGAACTTGACAGGAAAAAAAATCAACTGTGACTGCCTAATGATACAGTTAGGGTTTTGTTCAGGTCTATAAAGTTTCAGATTGATTTTATTTTGCACGAAAGTTCACCATTTGCATTTAATACAAAGCCTTTTTCTTCTCTTTTTTTGACCGCGCACAACTCTTTTTGATTATAGATGTCACTTACAGTGTAGCATGTTTAACAACTCCCTTTAAGGGCTTTCATCACACGTTATTGCGCGTCTGCCAGGTCTATTCCGGAGACCGCTGAGGGTCAAAGTGAAATAAACAATTCTTGGTAGCCAGACAGAGAGAACACAATTACTTTATTATTATTGTTGCGTTATCTCCACGTGCATGTAGTCTATTAAAAGCAAACGCCTTCCTCCATAATTTTTCTATCCCCATGTCACTCAGCAGAAAATGAAAATCAGCCCGAGCTTTTCAGAGCTGTACTGAGTGGAAATGAAAGACACCTTTTCCCAGTCATCATAAAGTCAGTTATTTTGTTTGATGCACCCTGATTTCGGCATGCAGTGATTTTATACATTCTCTGTAACACTTTGTTCGTACTTCTAACAGTTATGCTTGGAGTAATTTAGAGGCGTACAGGTGTGATTTTACCAAACAAACAATACAAACAAAAGAAAAACAAAAGAGCGATTCGGCAATATATTTTATATTGTTAGTTTAACCCGCCTACTTGGCTTCATTGCGTTCATGGTAACCAATGAAATTGCCTCTTCTTTAGCATTTTAGAATAACAATGGACGATAGTAAATGTCCCGGGAACAATTTAGCCATTTCTCCCGATGATGTATCCAGGATAAAGATTCGTATAGATGGAATCTTAATAGATGTAAATCCGCTTCTCATGAGTTTATCATGAAATACAGATATCAAGGATTAATTGGAAGGCAATTTTAACCCCTTAAAAAATTAAAAAGGTTAAACATAAGTTTCTTTTCTGCAAAGACGGCATTATTTAGAGAATTCACGTAATACATTTCAGAGCGTGTCATGTCACGTAGGATAAAAGAGCTCTTATACTTACCACACCAAGGGGTTTCCGAAGTAAATATGTCGATGCATAACTTAACCAAGTCATAAAAAGACAAGCTATCTGTCTGCCTTTGTACCCGTCCATTGTGATCATGATAAAAACAGAAAATTCACAAAGAAATTCCCAGTAGCAGAGAGCACCTGCAACCCGCCATTTTGAGGTGTGAATTACCTTGGATCGAGCACGGACTGGGGCAGAATTATTTTGTTAAAATATTGACGTCAGGGTGACGTCATTATCGGTCGGGGCAAGAAAACTCTATGTTTGGGAAAAAGGTTGTTGACTTTGAAAAAACATACATATATAGAAAGATATAGGTTTGAGTAAAAGTTTGATTTAAAAAAAAATAGGCAAAGGGTAAGTGGAATAAAGGGCATTCTCTCAGGGAAAAGTTACTAAAACTGTTTGGTCCCAATCAATATGAATAGCGAAAAAATCAGAACCAGTGAGACTTCTAAAGTATTGTAGACGATACCCCCATACACCGTGAAAACAAAAGCATATTTAACAATTATTTCTCGAGCCCCAATAGGCTCTGAGTCAATAACCCATGAGGCCAAAGGCTGAATGGGCTATTGACTCAGAGGCCATGAGGGCGAGAGGAATAATTGTTTTAGTAAAATCCAACTAGTTGGTCAAAAATATCAGGACAAAACAACTTTAGCTAGCAAAATGCGATTCAGCCGCCATTGTTTTGGTTTTCAAAGCCGGCGCTTTTCGCTACTAGTGGGCTATAACATATAGCCTAGTAGTAGTTCAGCCAATCAGAACGCAGCATTGATAATAGACCATTAGTTGGATTATACTAAAAGCCATTACGCGGCCACGTTAGCATACACAAACGTATTTCCGGTTAAACAGAAGGAAGTACAAAGGACGTACGTGAGTTTTGCAAAGTTTACCAGCCTCCTCTGAAAATAACCGATAGGTATGCATGGCTTCCTAAAGAGTGTGTTCTTATTTATTTTCCTTTCCTGAGGAGTCTTAATATTTTGCACGTGGAATATTAAAATGCTAAAAACGTGTAAAATTTACGCGTCGCGTTTCACTTTTCCATTTTTAAAGTTTAAAGGCCAAGTAAGGCGTGAACGTCACCAGGCAACAACCAATCAGATTCATGTATTTCCTAAAACAGCCAAGCTGTTTGTCTGAGAACGGCCATTTTGTAGCAACTTTGTAGTGGGGAGGTTCTACGTCCTGAATTGAGTCAAAAATTGCTGTTTTCAGCCAAATTAACGAAGGAGATGTCACGAAGAATACACCCCGCGTTTCAGAGTAAAACGGTCGTCAAACTAGAGTGCAAGTATTGCGAAAGATACATTTGTGCTCGTGGAATGAGGGCGCTTTTGTTGGCCGACACCAAAGTGGAACTCTACTCGACTGACTTGCCCCCAGAAAAGTAAGTTTAATGGTTGTGTTTCTTTGTAAATAAGGATAAAGCTGGTCCATTTCTTACCGGATAACCTATATTATTTTCGCATTTCTTTGTAGTGCTATTCAGCTGATTGGAACAGATTACTCAACAGAAAACTGTGATTGTCGAATCAAAGATGTTGCCTGCCTCGGATGGTAAGCTTCAAATCAATGAATCGTGTTTTATTTGCCTCTCTTTTCAAAATTGCCTTTCTGGGTAAATCTTCATGTCATGTTTTCAATAGTTAGTTGTGATTTTGAACTCTCGTTTATGCTGTATTTGTCTCAATTTTCAGCGGAAATGTTGTCGGATACCATGTAACTCTTCCATGTCAATCCTGTATTCGTTCCTGTAACAACGGCCATTTCTGGATGTTTCACTCCAGCGCTGTTACGCCCGTCGAAAGATTGGATCAAACAGGTAAAAATCCGTAATAGATTGATATCTTGTACTGGTACAAATGAAAACCTCACAGTGGACCTAGGGGAAAGCACGTGGAGATTCTAATACAGCTGTTTAATTGTTTGATGTCATGAGTTGACATCATTGATGTTTGGCACTTTATTCAGCTTTTTGTCTGTAATAAGTTACAGTATTTATTTCCGGTGATTATGGTGTTGTTATGCTAACTTTTGGACGTGATATGACCACATTTTGCATTGATAACCGTAACAGATGACGAGTAAATAAGTTGGGAATAAATCGTAGCTAATCTCCTTTTTAATAACCCGTGGAATAGAGAAAGGCGACAAAAAAAAAATTTATGCAGCATTACACTCTAAAATTTTCATCACTCGAGACTGATAGGCACTAATTATTTGGTACTATTGCATGGGTGAAGCAAAATCACTCAAGCTCAAGCTCGTGAAGGCAGCTTAGGCCCAGTTCAAGGGGTCAAACTTTTCATGTACCTTACTGAATACTTATTTGGGTCGACCAAACTGATGATACAGGTTTGACAGTTGATTCAAACATCTCAAATTTATAAGTCGGACGCAATTCATTTTCACGATGTACAATGCTTCTTATAGCAATTGTATGAACAAGATTTAGCACATGAAAGCAATATTTGAAGCAAAGTCACTGCACAGTTAAAATTCTCATGTGGGTCACACAAACTTAATTCATGGGTTGGCCTAAACTTTATTGATTCAAATGCTGATCTTTTCATGTACTAAATGGAAGGGATTAGGATTCCATGAAGAAGTTTCTTGTTTCAACTGGGCCTTATTGCGAGGCACCATATGACAAGTTCCAAATAATTTTAATGCTTCTGTTTGCTTGTAGGAATTCAAATAATGTTGTGGGGATCTCTTCCCAACTCAAAAGAAGACACTGAGTTGAGCGATGATGATATGTGGATGGAAGAATGCTGCAGATAAATTAAATATGAAAAAGAGAAGGGAGAAATAAATATTTATACCTTAACAAATGTACAAAGGCGATGTAAATAGATAATAAGCCAGTTAAGTCAAACTGTTGTGAAGAGTTTGACATTTTTCAAAAAATTAACTCCAAGAGGGTAAAGTTCATGTTCTTGCCATAATAAAGGAGAAATAGGATAATATCCACTAGTTTGTTTAAAAAAATTCGTAATTACTGTTGGTTAGCTTGTTTATGTTAATATTCTTTTATTTCATCGTATTAGATTTTTTGTTTCTTCTACAATGTACTTGGTGAAATCTTCTTGATACACATACCAAAGGGTCAAAGCCAAGTGTCCTCATTAGAGAGGTGTCCAGGCATGTTATAGAGTAAGGATATGATGTTTTCAAACTTTGGTACCAAGAGAACAGTTCATAGATGAGAGGTTTCTCCAGTGCTGTGCTCTAAGATTAGTCTAGGGAGGCTCATGCTCTGAATCTGTGAAATCCAGGATACCCTGTGTACGATTTTTATGCAAAAACTGAAAGAGAGTTATAGAGTCCAGCCAGATCAAGTGTGCCCCCCATAGATTCCATTAATGAATTTATTATTTGAAAGTTAAATGTGTTGGTAGTTGTAGATTTCAGATTCATCTTTGCATTCTTGAATGCGTAATGAGCTGTGAATTCACACGCAAGGGAGTTGCAAAATTTCTACCAGCTCAGTTTTCCTGAATTTGATGTTAATGTCTTTTAAGAAATTTAATCCATTCAAGGATTTTCAATCTGACCAAATACAGAGAAGTTTTTGTAAAATATTCACTGCTCATTACGCATGCAGGAATGCCGATTTGAATTTGACACTAGTTATGGGAATGACTAATGGATGCATTTTCAAATAATCCATTCGTTAATAGAGTCTTAAGGGGTACGCTTGACCTGCCTTGACTGTAAGAGCTCCTGAGGTTTGCCTAAACTTGCACCAAGTTGACCTCTTTTTGTCAATAGTACAACTGAAGAATTTGTAAGTAACCTGAAAGCAAGCAAAGCAAGCTTTAACAAGGTACTTGACAAAACAAAACCATTCAACTAAGAGGGACGTTGTGAAAGTCTTTATGTTTAGTTTGATCTTGATAAGCTAGTAAAGAAGTAACTTTTTTCTTGGTCTAAAATTAATATTAGGTTCATTCTTCAGAACTATGTATTTCTCGAGCTCAAACCAGAGGCAGACAAAAGTTTTAGGGAATGACATGTTTATTGTTTTTAGATAGTGATTATATTGAGACTCTGAACTTGTCAAACCATGTGAGATGGAGATTCTTAAAGGTGACTTTTTGTGAAGTCAAGTCTGATAGAGTGAAGCAGAAACCACTAAGAAGTATGAACTGATGTTAGGGTGCCACAATCTGTTGAATATTATGAGAAAAATTCTCTACCAGATAGCAGCTTGAAGGAAGCATGTCTGCTTAAATAAAAGCTCTGAAATAAAATAATGATTACTGTTAAATCTTGTGTTGTGCTTTCTTGCCATGTAGAAATCTTTGAGTGAAATTCTTGGGGTCTGCTTAGAAGCATTTCTTGGAGTAAAACATCATTGTCACATGTGGTCTGTTCCAGCCTCCAAGTAGCCTGCGTGGTCAGCGTTAAAAGGGAAAGGGGAAGGGAGAATTTGTCGGCCATGCAGCGGTCCATTCTTGAAGAATACCTAAGATGAAATAAACCATATCCTGGGAATTAGACAAGGAAAAAATAACCTTTGGAACCGAGGGTACCAAGATAGCAGTGCAGTTGTTTAGCAATAAGACTAGTGATGTGACAAATGCCTGCGGGTTAGGGAGAGATATCTTGTGTCTTATTTTCACTTGGCTTTTTTATTTTGTACGATGTCCGTACTATCTGAGAGCCCTATACAGGCTATCTTACATGCTGCCAAGCTACCTGTGACAACTCTGCCAAGATTCTGTTGCGGTAGGGAAACCAAAGGTGCCAACAACAATGATCATCCCAGTCTTGACCGATGGCATGCCAGAGTGGGAGGTTGACCCAAGTGCTACTTTCATTTCAGTTTTCCAAATTATTTTAAATTTTTCAGATTATCTAGCTCTTATGAATTTTCACTTACTATTGGCACTATAATCTACAAGTCTAAGGAAAGATTGTTGGGACGAAGAAGATCTCGGCGACATGGAAAGGGATTTTATAAAGAGCTTCCAGGGCACAAGGAATCTCATTAACAGCTTGTACCCCACTACCCTGTCTTCAGTCATCTTCATATGGCTCATTAGCACACAAATCATGACTCCCTCAAGAGTCAAAAATGTTTTGGCAAAGAGCATTTGCATCTTGTCCAAATTAATACCAGCAAAAAGTAACTTGTTCCTGACCTGTGTGGACTTTCTTTCAGCCTAACCAACTGCCCAAGATCACTGATGATAGTGTGAATTTCAAAGGAATATTTGATCTAAACAAGTAAAAAGCCAGGTAAGTAAGCAAAATATTATCATGACAACACATTAACACGAGACAAAAGATGGAACTTTAATGTGGTCCTAGAAATGATAATGGATTGCCGTTTTGAGTCGTCTCTTTCAGCAGTTATTAATAGGGGAGATCGATAGGCTCGATTCTGCCACCCTCTCAGCCCTCCCTGAGAGGAACTGTTCTGGGGAGAAGCACAAGTTCATCTCCTGAACAGTAGCTGGCGATCGAGCCTACAGAAAAGACTAAATTTGAGACAACTAAAATTAATTTTACACCATATAATACCAGTATATAATACTATATTTCACATCAGGCAGTTCTTTAATCTGAAACATATCATATATATCTTCTCGTCAAAAGGATTTCTAGTAATCTCTCTTCAAATACAGTTAATATACTGTTATACAGCAAAATTCTTCCATGGGAAATACTATAAATTTCTTATTAGCACTCGTAGAAAGCTGAGATCCTCTAACCTACTAATTCATCTAAATCAGTGTTTAAAAAAAAAGCTTGCCATAAACTAATGTGAAAAAAAAACTCAAAAAAGCACAATTTACATCAAGATAATTACATTGTAAAGTTTATGTTGTTTATAGAGTAACTTCAAGTACAAATGGATCACTACTACATGATATTATTACTATTATTATTATTATTATTTTATTCCTTAGTGATGTGACTGGAAGAAAAAAGCCCCTTAAAATGATTGTTACTAAAGCAAAAGAATAAAGTGGAGCAGTGTCTTTCAAAATAGTAACCTGGTTATCTGGCCTTCCTGAGAAATTTTTTCAATCATTCCCCCATTAAAATAATGAGTATTAGATGGTTCCACATCATATATGCCAGCCACAAAACTTTGTGTGATTGTCTCCTTATTTTAAGACATCAAAATCTGGGATACTTGCCATTTCCATGATAGTCAAATAGGGAAATTGTAATTAAAAATGGTTCTTGCCACTTCCTTTGGAATAAACATGGGCTATGATCTGAGGTCATGCAATTTTTCTACTCTTTTTAGTCTGTTCAGCTGATTTGGATATACTTTGTAGCAGGTCATTCTCCAAGCATGTGAAATTTTGTAGTTTGATGTTTATGCACAAGATTACCACCCAGATGGTTAGTGTAAATGGTAAGCACCCCAGGTGAGGTCTTCTCTTATTTCAAGGAGCTCACATTAGCTGTGTTTTGATGGAGATTTGCTAATTTTCCTATACCATAACTTTGAAATCACCGTGACATTCAGTCGATCGTGACCAAACAATACATTACGTACATTACCTATCAAACCTTAATCAAAAACAGATACCAACCAAAATGACCCTAGCTAACCTAGTATAATAAGCAGCTAAATAAATAAAACTTCTAAACGAACAACGTCGCGTGAAAATTGACAAATGCAGCCATGAGTGACAGTGACAGTCTTAGCTACAAAGTCAAAGGTGAAAGGCACATCATATCAGCTGTTACTAGTTACTGTTTAAATTTTCTAAATCTAAGTTCTAAATGTTTCAGCTGTTAGTTCAATCGACGGCTGTATGCTATGATTCTTTCTTGATAACATGATTATTCATTCCATTTTCTAGACCTTCGCTTCCTGAATTGCGATTTTCTTGAATTAGTGATCCGTTCGCCAGTGATGTTGTGACAGCGGTCAAAACTACAGCTTGGTTTACGTTTTCACTGTTCGAGTTCGTAAATTGAACATTTATTTCCGAAGGAACTGTAATCCCACCGTTAGCAAACAGAGATCTTAAAACGTTCAACTCCTTTTGCAGTAAAGACACTTTGTTTCGTAACTCTTCGTTTTCTTTTGATAACTCCACGACCCTCTTCCGAGTCTCTTCGATCCGTTCCTTGGCTTTCATGCGACTCTTCCGCACAGCAATATTGTTCCTTTCCCTTTTCTTAACATAATCATCGTCTGGGTCTTTTTCCGCGGGACGTTTGACACCTTTAGCCGTCTTAGCTTCTCCTTTTTGATTCGACGATTCCATTTTTAAGCTGTACTCTTTGCAAGGCTTCTTCCCCTCTTGCTCGATTACCTAATACTTTAAAAAAAGTTGCAAGCTTGCGCAATCATTTGGCAGATTGCGTTAATAGCTTAGCAGCCAAGCTATGCGTAGTTTCAATTGCGCTTAATTCTCTTTTGATAACCGCTGTTCTTGAGAAACGTGTTCTCAGATGACGAAGCACAAAAAGGGACAAGTGTGAAGCAGTGTGTCGAGTTTTTTTTTTTTTTGGCCCCTGTGAACATGCCAGACTGCCTGCAATTTGTGATTCAGTCTTCAAGAGGGTATCAGCGGAGTTTGAAAATATTTTTGCCCAGATTTCGGATTCAAAGCGAGATTTTAATGGATTTCCGGACCCTGCGATTGCAGGGTTGCGGATTCATCAATTTTTTGGGCCCGGATTTTGGACTTTGCGAGTAATTAAAATATTTTTGCCCCGATTTCGGATTCAGGGCGAAAGTGGAAGGGCGGATTTGGTCAAAAAATTATAACGGATCGGCGGATTTGCATACCCCTATTCACCCCCTCCTTCAAAGTTGTTGGGGTAGCACATGTGGCTTTTCATTTTTCGCGTGGTGTGCGTCATACCCTACCACATTTTTGAAGATAGTACCAGTGGGGAGCCCGAAGAGGGGCGGGTACTCCCTATAATGGCTTATACTGGCCCGAGGAGGCTTCGCTCGAAAGGGGTACCTTTTTTAGGGTTTAGGTATGTGAAAGGGTAGGGATTTCACTGGTTGAAGTAAATGAAAGGGTAGGAAAATTTGTCATTTTGGTCTGCAGAAAAGCCCAAAAGGTCTAACAAATGAATGGCTGTAAAAAATAATGTCGAGAAAACGTTCTGGTTCAGTGTGATTGATTCATATGTTTCAAAGACACTGCATTTACAGCAGTTAAAAAGGACGCAAAGTTCTAAACTAGGTATGTGAACGAGACGACCATTAGCCAATAGAAGGTATACGAAAGGGGTACCTTTCATTAAAAGCAAAGTGCAACCTCGTCCCCAGGGCGCTTTAATTTTCCCTGGCTTTGGAGGAGGAAAAGCACCCTGGGGACGAGGTTGGGCAAAGGGTTGGATCTCGGGACGGGGCCTCAACCTCCCCGTTTGTATTTTGTTGATTACTCCTCCCGGGGAGTAGAGGAGGATCAGACTCACATATGAAAGCTGGAGCGCGAGGACGCTGATCGTCTCCTATAGGGGGTGTTAATTTTAGAGTTTATGAATTTTTCTGGACGAAACGTGAATTTGTTTGACCACTGAATCCGCTAGCTCCACCCCCTCACTGTTTTTGTCTGCTCACATCTCTTCGCGCCGCCACCACGATTTGAACGCCTGGAGCAGGCTACCTTCTGACTGGCTACCCGAGCAAGCAAAATGGTCAAGCTGAATGGTAGCCTGTGTAGCTAGCGTTTCCATGCCAGTTCGTCTATAAAGTTAGACAAGAGCATTCGTTATATCGAGGTTCCGCTGTATCAGGTAAGTGCATACAAGAGTCCGTCCTTTCCCTTAGTCCCCTCCCCCACCCTCCGCCACCCCCCCCCAAAAAAAATGAAAAAAAATAGGGAGGTTGTTTTTGAGCTGCCTTTAAAATTCTAAAGGAGTGTATAGCTTTGATGTGTACCGTTTTTAGGGAATCCCAAATTGGACGTGAGATGTATATTCAGTATCTCTTGTCATGATCGTACGAAAGAGACACATCATTAACCTATAACACAGTTAATCGAGTGGAATGGTTATGAAACCCGTCAGACTCCTTTGTTATATGTTTTTGTGGACCTGAAAGTGCACAACGTTCAAAAGAATTCCTATCATTTTGATTGTATTGACCAATAAAAACGTTGCATTAATTTATTCCGTAACAATTTGCCAACAGAAAACAAAGGATTGTGCACTTTCAGGGTGCTTCCAACATAAACTGCAGCACTGTTGTTTTTATCATTGATATTTGCCGCTTTTCATAACCAGTCTCCTCTAATAACTATGCCTATAGGCTGCTTAAAATCGATATTTATAGAAATTTCATACCTTTTCACCGAACAAATCTGGAAACTGTACGGGAATGTTGCAAGTGAGCCCACCCTCAATGTTTATGCTGTTATAATGTTTTTAATGGGCCAGTTGCACGACAACAATCCTTTTCGTTTTTCCTTTTATATTTAAATTTTGTAATCCCAGCGAGGTTTTAATAACAAAAGCCGTAATTTGCATAAGAAATGAAAACCCTGAAGGATTCTGGTCGTAATAGTAAAATGACGTCATCAAGCAATGGCCTATTATCGGTTTATGTCGTCACAATGGTCTTCAGCATTTCACGCATACTTTACGGTTGCTGGTCTTCAATATTCACTGAATCCTGCAAGAATTGCACCATGCATTGCGCAATGAAAAAAATATCATATTAATGACAAAAATAAGGGAATGTGAATCTATTAATGTGAAATTCTTTAAACTTTAAGGTGTGATAGGGTAAAAAGATTTAACCAATAAGGCTGCAATGTTTTGTTACAAACTCGAAGTTACAGCGAAAAAGCATAAAAGCGCTAAAGAAACAATGCATCGTTCTATTTCTTCGCGTCTTCCTTCCTTTCCAGAGCTGTTGCAGGGAGAGCCTCAAAAGAAAATAACCAAAAGATGTCCGGTCGAGGCAAAGGTGGAAAGGGTTTGGGGAAAGGAGGGGCCAAAAGACATAGAAAAATCCTTCGAGATAACATCCAAGGCATCACCAAACCCGCCATTAGACGCTTGGCTAGGCGAGGGGGCGTGAAGCGTATCTCGGGCCTAATTTACGAAGAGACACGTGGAGTGCTGAAGGTCTTCTTAGAGAATGTCATTCGTGACGCTGTAACTTACACTGAACACGCCAAACGAAAGACAGTTACCGCTATGGACGTTGTATACGCGCTTAAACGCCAAGGACGCACCCTGTACGGTTTTGGTGGCTAATGAGAAGGAGAACTGATTTGCAGACGGAGAGACGCAATAAACGGAAAGCATGTGAGGAGTGAACCGCATTACCCTTCAGATCTAAATGACTTTCAGCCGGTCTGAGATATGTAAGAAGTTTTATTTCGGCCAATTTATTTAGAAGTCTTTCATTGTGTTTATTTTTCACTTGATTTCTGTGTAAATGTAGTGGCCATACAAGTACGTTATTTCTAAGGATTTCTAAGTACTGTTAATAATTTTGATTTAAATATAATATACATGTTCAGTGTTGTATAAATGAAAAAAAGCAAAGTGTAAAAAGGCCGTTGTTTGCTTATTCTAGATGTGATAATTGTGAATGGACGGATTGTTTTCAATCCATCACTTTTCCTGTTTGCATATCAATGTACAGAGAATAAAATTTATTTCTATAGCATATCAGTATTGATTTCTGTTTGCTTTATCCCACTCTCAGACATCATCTTAACATTAATTCATAGCGGGGCTCTTGCACGCGCAGCTGAGCAGTAAAACATGCATCCGGAGAAATTTTTATGGTAACCACGTGACCTTACGCGCTCCGTCCAGACCACAGGATAACCAATGTGAAATGACCTTTTTTTAATTTGAGTGGAGCCTGCAACCTGTACTGTTCAACTTACTGTGATAGACGTTCGTGTTACGGTCACATTGGACACCCAGACATTTAGAGGGAAAAAACAACAACAACAAAGCCGAGTCTCTTTTTCGACTTAATTTTAATGTCTAGGCTGACGTGGATAAAAGAGAAAGAGCTAGAGCGAGAGATAAAAAAACAATGGAGACAAAATTTCGTTAGAAACACAACATGAACAATTTTAGCAGTGGTGTGAAAAAGAGAATTGTTAGAGGCCAGGGCTCAGTTGTTCAAAGGCCGATTAGCGATAATGCGGGTTTCTTTTTCTTTTATTAGAAAGCATTCTCTCCGGTAATTTTATCACAATGTAGACAAAAAGAATTAAACTAAATTTGCTTTTTTACCTTTCAAATCTGAATTCAAATTTCGCACTAACCCTGGGTTATCCTGCCTCAGCTTTGAACAACTCGGCTCTGCAGTAAGGTGAAAATGAGTGGTAGTGAAAAAGAAAGCGAACAGAAACACAACCAGCAAATTTTTTGGTGAAAACATACGACGTTTTCGACATAATTAGACCTATTGCTGTTGTTGTTTTGTTTTCTTTTTTGCTGTTCTCAATGCCGTCGCCGCTTAGCAACCTCGTTCCCAGGGATCTTTCTCTTGCTTCGCGAGAGAGCCCTGGTTGCGGCTGGCTACGTGGCTCCCCAAAATCTGGGAGCCAAAAATAAGGGAGGGGAAGAGGTGTAAATGATTGTTGTTATGAGAAAAGTTACTCTGTCGGGGCCCGGAGAGGAGTTTGCCACCTCGTTTATTATGAGCTGATGGCGCGGGTATTTGCAATTAGTAAAATCCAACTAGTGGTCTGTTATCAATGTTGCGTTCTGATTGGTTGAGCTACTACTAGGCTATTTGTTATAGACCACTAATAGCGAAAAGCGCCGGCTTTAAAAGCCAAAAAATGGCGACTGAATCGCGTTTCGCGAGCTTAAGTTGTTTTGTCTCGATATATTTGACCAACTAGTTGGATTTTACTAAAACAATTATTCCTCTAGCCCTCACAGCCTTTGAGTCAATAGCCCATGAGGCCGTATTGACTCAGAGCTCGGAGCTCTCTCGGACTCGAGGAATAACTGTTAATAAATATCCTACGAAAGCTAGACTATTCACAGTCCCCTATTTTTCCGTGTATGTTTAGAAGATAAAGGGCTGTTCAAGTCTGCAAATATACTCCAAAGAGCAGATGTTGTCCTTCGAGTTGTCTTCTTGCTATGTTTTTAGACAATAGTTCGTTGTGAAACGAGTAAAATGTTCCGCCGACTGTTCGGCCATTTTCCTTTTCACAACACAAACAACTCAACCTCGTCCACAGATCTTCTCAGCTAACGGTGCATTAACCTGCAAATGTGCTGCACTTTTGATGTCATCGGTTGATTAATCGCAAATTTGTTCCAGATTTGGTCAACAGTAACTGGTTATGGTGAATTATGCGTTTGCGTTTAGCCAATAACAAACGGAGAAATATTTTGGATGAATAATGAGTCATTTTCGGCCCTATCAAAAAAAAGTCCATAATCCCCCTCGAATTTCTGTTTATGATAAGGAAATCAATAGAAGTGTAAATCTTGGACGAAAATATTGCATAAAATATCTAGGCGTCTCAACATATGAGAATCTTTCTTGGAGAAAACATTTTGTGACTGTCGGCCACCAAGATAAGTAAAGCGATTGGTATGCTATCTAAGTTGAGACATTTTTCACCTTCTTCTGTTCTTGTAAACATTTACAATGCACTGATAACACTTTACTTAACCTATGGTCTTATCTCTTGGGGAGGCGCCTGTAAAACGTATCTCGACAAAATACCTTATCCTTCAAAAACGTGCAGTACGCTTAATATATTCTGCAANGCGTTTGCGTTTAGCCAATAACAAACGGAGAAATATTTTGGATGAATAATGAGTCATTTTCGGCCCTATCAAAAAAAAGTCCATAATCCCCCTCGAATTTCTGTTTATGATAAGGAAATCAATAGAAGTGTAAATCTTGGACGAAAATATTGCATAAAATATCTAGGCGTCTCAACATATGAGAATCTTTCTTGGAGAAAACATTTTGTGACTGTCGGCCACCAAGATAAGTAAAGCGATTGGTATGCTATCTAAGTTGAGACATTTTTCACCTTCTTCTGTTCTTGTAAACATTTACAATGCACTGATAACACTTTACTTAACCTATGGTCTTATCTCTTGGGGAGGCGCCTGTAAAACGTATCTCGACAAAATACCTTATCCTTCAAAAACGTGCAGTACGCTTAATATATTCTGCAAACAGACAAGATCATGTCATTCCTTATTCGTAAATGCTTATGTACGGCCATTAAATTTCTTGTGTTATGAATCCGTCTTAAACTTAATGCACGACACAGACGAAAGAAATGCACCGATAGATATTTTAAACTTGTTTTCAAGGACATCAAATTCACATCACTATATGCATATCCTACACGCTTAAAAAAAATCTAGACTTCATATACAAAAGAAATCGTTCTCTTGTGTTGGCGCAAAGATGTGGAATAAGATGCAAATAGCTTAATTAAAAAACATCGACAAGTCTCCGTCTCCCGAGTCTTACGTCTCGAAGGAATCATCCTTATCTTTGGTTATTCACCAGTTTGATTTAAGTTATTAAGTTTAATTCCGTTTTATATAAAGTCAAATAATAAAAAATTTACATTCAGAAACATTACCTTTTCACTGAAACCAATTGAAAGCCTGACTCACTAAAAAAACAGTCAAACAAATTAAAACCCAGTAAGAAAATTAAAAGCTGAGGTAAGAGAAAAACATTTTAAGGGCATGTATTACGCTTCTCGAATTTTATTAATACACGTGTCCTGTCTTAAGCCTTTCATGGGCAACATTATTGAGAGGATAATTTTTAAAAATTTTAATCATGGCGCATCCAAAAAGTGCGCCTTTCCAAAGGATAGTGATTAAAAGATGCCGCAATATGCTTGTTAGTCTTGGTTATTAAGTGAGATGTCTATTTTCTTTCGATGTAAAATATAAGCATTATATTGAAACCAATTGCAAGCTTGACTCGTTGAGGGAGCGAGCGAACAAATTTAAAACAGAAAAAATTGAGGTTGATTAAGAGGTAGGCACAAAATTAACGAAAGAAAATTCACACGAAGGATCCCAGGCCAGACGCTGATATAGTAATTATGTGTAAAACGAGACTAAGGTAAGAAAAACTAGTATTTTAAGGGAATCAGAGTATTACGCTTCTCAAATACGGATTATGTAGCAAATATCACTATTATTATTATTTTTTATCATTATTATTATTATTAATATTATTATTATTATTATTATTATTATTATTATTATTATTACAGGAGCCCATCATTTTTTTTTAATCGAAAGGAATAATGTAAATAGTGCTTTGACTGAATAGTATTGAAATTAATTGTGAATAGGATTTTATAGTTAGCTTTGTTATCAATAAAGGGTTTGGGTAATTGATGGATTCCTAAGAATGATGATGATGATGATTATTATTATTACGATTATTATTACATATATTTTTACTTTGCTAGATCTGAGACATTTTAAATGTACCATTAAGGGATAATCCTATATTTATTTCAACTAGCGGTAGAAATATTTACAATATGTGAAAATATTTACAATGGATAAAAATATTTACAATAGATAAAAATAAAAAAAATAAATAAAATGAACAAATGAAAATGCAATAGAGATCCAAAATTTATCTACATTAAAGAAAAGATTTAACTTTCCTCCAATAAAAGTTAAAGTCATCACACATCCTTAGGTGATCACGGAGGCTATAAAAAACCTTTGCAACAGTGTCCTAAAAGGTAGTTTCCTTTTTCGGGTGGAATCGAGAGCCTGGTGGCAGAGCTGGAACGCAAAGTAAGCACTAGTTACTTGATTTGTTCTCCAGTATAATGGCAAGTTATTCATATAGAGCGCCTTATAAACTAANCAACAGTGTCCTAAAAGGTAGTTTCCTTTTTCGGGTGGAATCGAGAGCCTGGTGGCAGAGCTGGAACGCAAAGTAAGCACTAGTTACTTGATTTGTTCTCCAGTATAATGGCAAGTTATTCATATAGAGCGCCTTATAAACTAATCTAAGCAAGCTAAAGTCGACTCCGTTCTCTCATTCATAACCGTCTTAGTTTAAGAATGTCTTCACGTTTCCGGACGTATCGTCCGTGACAAAGCTTGCTGCTGCGAATTGTAATCGTTGCAAGCCTTTCAAAGGGAATTCGAGCGCACTTCGTAAGCGCTTGGAGCTCCGCTATCACTGTAGCAAACAACATTTGGCACACAACAACCGTAATAAATCGCACGGTTTTAGAGACAGTCTTACAGCC